GCTCGCGGAGCTAGTCATGCGAGTAAGGGGGGGACATTTCGCGCTTGTTTGCCGGTCGGTCATGCCGCGCAATATGCTGACTCGAATTGAATGTTGAGGCGTAGCCGCGCCGCGCCGCTCCGCGTTGGTCTGCTCAGTCAAGGCAAATGCATTTTCATATTTTTTTCTGCACCATAGTATGGTTGAGTTGAGGTTCAAGTAGTTCGCGCGCTTTTTTTAGTGTGTTTATTTTTAGTTTCGCGTTTGCAGTGTATTAAGGGCTCTTCCATAATTTTTGTTACCATATTCCTTCGTACCGCTGGCCGCCTGCTGCTCATCTCCATGCTGGACGCTGCGCCGTACAAGGACAGCGACGACAGCAGCTCGAGCCAGAGGAGGTCTGCTCTGTGAGTGTGTTGTGTGTGTATTGTGTGTGTGTGTGCATGTGTGTGCATGTGTGTGTGTGTGTGTGAAAGCAGAGGGGCCCTCCCACGCGGATGGCCTAAGGGATGAGACAACCTGGCCTTTCCCGACAGTATAGTATAATACTGCCCACAGGGACCTGCCGTGCCCCTCCCCCCCCCTTTCCTCTTTTCCTCACCCACCAACCCCACGTCGTCGTGGCTTAGCCACCCAACCCTATACGGTGTGATGTAAGTCCAGCAGACTGTGAACTCGCGCCGGGTGAGACGCACGCGATATGACCACGTGGCGGGCGCGGGGGTGGCTCATGAACGCCACTTACTTCCTCCCACACTCTTACACTGCAAACAAAAACTTTCGATAGAAATGAGAAAAGTCCGAGACTTTGTTACGTGCGCACGTCTCATGCATCACATCTCTGCCTGCCTGTCCGTGCCTGTCTCTCTGGCGCGCATACACTACAACATACGCACTACAATCAAGACCGGGTTACTGTGAAAGATTGCAACATTTCTGCAAATTTCGTATTGAAAACAATAATTTTTGCAGCTTGCAAAGAATTTTCAAGCATTGTAATACGAGCTAGTTCTTCGCAAGCTTGCACACTTTTGTAATGAAAGCACATTGTTTGCCAGGGTTCTGACAGCTTGCAAAGAACTTCTCTGAAATACAAATCTCACAAATTCTTTGAAACGTTGCAAAGAATATAGTTTGCATGGATTTTACACTGTTTTGTGAGACAGCAATTTTATAAGGAATAAATGTCGTAAATAAGTTAAGTTGTGCGATTAACAAACGTCGTTTGGGAACCGTAAATGAAAAACCATTCTGACAAGGAAAAATCGTTAAATAATAAAGACATATGTGTGTTTTTCACAGAAGCCGTGATTACCCTACTGTTAAAGAGGATAACACCTCCTCCTCCTGCTGCGGGTGTAGGCGGTTCTACGAGTACTAATCACCTTCCTGTTGCATGTTGCGTCTCTCTCTGTCTCTCTCTCTCTCTACCTCTCTCCTTTCTTCCCTACTTCCCCCTCTCTCTCTCTCACTTTGCCGTTTCGCTGGCCGGCGGCGAAGATGACCACCAACACCACCGTACGGAACTCGTTTCATTTTGCGACTTACCCTACCGCTCTCGCTCACCACTACTTTGGCAGGTGGTGCAGCCCATCAGAGACACACACACGGTTTTGATTTTGAAGGCTGGTCCGGGCCGGCGGGCGGTCCCAGCCAGGACCTGGCGGTCAGTCCGACCGTCCAGGACACCGCGTGGTGCAGCCGGAGAAAACCTGCTACACACCTACCTATTAGAGCACACTTTCGCTATACGGGAGGCCAATGGCCAGCCTGCGCTCGGACGAGGCGGGGCCGGGCCCGGCTGCTACCTTGACCCTCCCTCCTGCTGATGCTGACCAAATACGCAGCTTCTCAACCCTAAACCAATTATTGAAAATATCTTTGAAAGAAAAATCAATATCAACACTCGGATTGTAAAAGTATAGAGTAGTTTGTCTCTATACACTCGAAAATGAGACCTACACTCGC